TTGTTTAAATTCCTCGGATAATTTTCCTTCATCTGCAAGCTCTTTGATCAATTTCAATGTTTGAATAAATTCCAAATTAATCAATGTATAATATATTCACTGATGACAAAATAATTATATAATAATAATTCTGATTTCATATATAATAATCACTAATAAATCAACACTGTATAATATAGCTCTAAGTAAAGGATTAATATACATATTTAAATACATCTAATTAAATAAGTGAAATCCTATTTTTCAGTCAAAATAGATTTTAGTGCTTAAATATTTCTGTGGGAATTTATATATCTGATTCTGCAAGCAGCGCACCGAAATATTTAAACACATTTGAATAATTGACGAGATTCTCGCAAACTCAACATACAAAAGACAATTCAGTCCGCAACAAAAAACAATTCTCAACGCTAGTTTTTCTGATCGATTTTAACATTTAGAATTATTTATATTTCTCGGATTTTCTTTTATTCGCGAGCTCTTCGATCAATTTCAATGTTGATTTACGAAAATTGCAAATTAATCAATATATATTTGCAGACGACAAGAATAATCATATAATAACTCTGATGTACATTCGACATAATTGATAAATCGACAGCGTACAACAGTAAGTATAAAGGATTAATGTATTGAAACACATTTGAAATATTAACAAGATTCTTGTGAACTCAATATATCAAAGGTAATTCGATCCTTTCCTAATGTTTGTTCTTGCAATTAATTTTAACACTTAGATTCGCTCAAATTTTTCAAATTTTCTTTTATCTGCGACTCAATTTTGATTTAGAAAAATTCAAAGTTAATCAATATATATTCGCAGATAACAAGAATAATCATAAAATAATAATTCTGTATAAATATTCCATAATTAATAAATCTATAGTGCAAATTTAACCTAATTTAAGTCGCCACTGCTTCTACTCGATATATCGTTATTTTATACTAAAACAATTAATGGATAAACATATAGTCAAATTTATCCATTAATTGTTTTAGTTTAAAATAACGATAGATATATTGAAACAAAGGATCGATCAATGGCGATTTAAATTAGGTTAAATTTGACACTATAGATTTAACAATATACAGTTTAAAATAAAGGATTAATATATATAATACTGTATTGAAAAACACATTTAAAATATTGACAAAGATTCTCGCGAGTTTAACATGCCAAAGGTAATTTAGTCCTCTCTCGAGGAGTTAATAACGAATTACTCCGTAAAATCCCTCTCAATTGCAGATTTAATTTAATCTCCTTACATTCCCTCGAAAGTCCAGGTGGGCGCGAGTGTTTTTGCACCCTTCCTCGCGGCGCTCACGAGCACGCTTCACGATCAATCTTGTTTCGAGGCGGTGGAGTGGCCTCTTTATCGTGTCGGCACGGGGGAAAAATTGGAATCACGAGAAACGCCACGCCACGCCACGCCGAAGCAGCGCAGCGGAATAAGACGAGGGAGATGCGACGATGCGATACGCGCCTCGATCCGACTGCTATTATTTGTTCCAGCCGCGTCGAGCGGAGCGGAGCCACGCCACGCCGACGAGGAGAGTCGATCATTCTCAATTAACGCTCCCCCTTCGCGACCGCCGTTAAATTATACCCGTCTCGTACCTTCTGTCTGCCTTCCGCGTGGGCGTCGCGTGTTTATTAATCTCCACGCGTTGCGCTGCGCGTTAATTGTCCGTAAATGAGACAGAGAGACGCGTCCGTTGGCGCTCGATGAGCTCAATGGCTACTGCGATTCGGCATAAATTCATAATTGATAGGCTTATTTCCGCAACGAGGCGTATCCTTTGTGTTCATAAATCAAAATATGTTTAGACGACGTCGGAACGTTTGAGTCACGTTTTTATTTCGTACGTAGCTATTACACATTTATTCTTTGACCTTTATGCCTTTATATCAAAGGTAATGGTTATTATTAAAAAGCAATAATAGTTGTAAAAAAAAATATTAAACGATTATTATTATTATATATATATATCTTCGTTTTTTGTATGGAAATGAATCTAGAGAAATATAAGTTCTGTATAGACTTGAAATAATTTTTCTTAATGTAGTAATTTTCTTCTTCCTATTAATTTATTATTTTATGTGTATAGCTTTAGTTTTATTAATATACTATTTCTGCACAATTAATATATTTACTTAATTTAATAAACAGTTGGATATCCAATTCTGAAACAATTCAATAAGTCGACTCTTTCTCTCATAACTTTCCTGCTTTCTATTCATGATACTTTGCACCAATTTACGGAATGGATGGTAAATCATAATAACGGTAGTTGGTTCATATTCTCATATTCTAGCATCTCTGAACTCCGCTACTGTACCGTAATGCAATGAGGATGCATTAAAGGCAGCGGCGCATATTCAAATCACGTCGCGGTCGATAAATATGTAGTGAGCTCGTACGGTCCGACAGTAAAATGCATTACTCCATGTAGTTGATTCGCATTACGAGATAAAGGTGATAAAGCGAATACTAAGTATAAACTATACAAGAAGAATCGTAGATAGCGCGCATTCGTCAAGTTGATAATCGCCTCTTCGTTACATAATGCTCTTTTCTGGTCGCGACTTGTCAAAGACGGACTTTTGTCTAAAATGATTATTAAATGTCCAAAATTACTTATTTTGCAGCATAAATATTTTCCAAATAATTGTATTAGAATTATAGAGAATTTTTTGATATCGTATGTTTATAAAATGTGATCATATTTCATAATTTTAACCGTTATAAAAGCTTCAAAACTAAATTTAAGCAAAATCATATCACGTACAAAGAACTGTTCTAATCTTTAATATCGCTTTCCAGTGGCGATTAAAAACATTACGTATTTGGGCCGAAATACTCTACTTTTTTTCTGCAATTTCAAATTTTATTAATAATTCACATGGACTTTTCTCTCGTCGGAACTAACAGAAAAAAAAATAAGTACAGTATCGCGTTACGTTAACGAGAACGTTCATAAATTTAACTGCCGGAGTTTTCATTTTTTTTTTTAAATATTTTTTTTACGCAAAGGAAATTCTCGGATTTATGTCGCGCACCGGATACTTGATATCGATGTATAATAGTTAACCGCACGTTCGCATTTTATCGCGCACGTGTCGCGGTTTATTATCGATAAAGAATGAAAGAGGAAAAACCCCCGATTTGTACCACGGCAATTATAATTTTTCCGGGCGCGTATTTCGGTCGATGCGCAAACTACTGCCCGTTCGACGATGCGATAAAATCGATGAAGACCTTCGACTCGCGTCGATATAAATCACGGGAGCGACTCCAGATGTTGCTTGCACCTTAATGGCCCTCGACTCGCTTGTAATAACCTTGCTCGGGTATAACTGGAAATAAATTGTTCGGAAGCGATCGTTCTCCTTCGAAGATCGATGCCGTTCGTCGAATGCAACAGACGTTGTGCTTTAATTTCGAGGACAGATACAAAATAACATAAGAAATGTGTAGATCAATAATTTTTTACATTTTTTGCGAGATACTTTAAAGAACCTGTATATCAATTTATTAAGACTTTACTAACAATAAGTAATACTGTATTATATATATTTAAATAACAATGTGCTCTCTAAAATTGTTGGAGTAGAATCTAATTCCAAAAAATGAAATTTTAGTCTTAAAAATTAAAAATTGTGCCACTCTTTTTCTATACGGATCAATTGTCACTCTTCGTCATTCTTTAGACTCATACTCTACTCCAAAGATTTGAGAAAATAATAATCTCTCAATGTGTGTGTATATATATATGTGTGTGTACGCTACACATTGTACATATACATACATATATATATGTATACTTTACATATTACATATGTATAAACTCCAAAAATATTCACATGTTCTCGTTGTACTTTAATTAAATGCCAAAACTTTAAAGTACGCGACAACTGCGTTTCTCGACGAACTCGACTAAGATGCTGAAAGTCAAGTTAAAATACAGGACAATGTATATACAGGACATCTGGCAACTCTATCTCGTAGCGCCTTCCCTGCGTCCGACGAAGGTTTCCTACCGCGTAGAAGCCATTAAAGATCTTACCGTGCAACGTAGTTGGAAGAATGAAAATTGCCGTGGCACAGAAAAGAAGGAAAGAAGCTCCCGGCCGTTGAGAGAACTTTTAACGCGTTGACTTCTTCCGTGAATCGCGACGAGGTCCTGTTAAATCGCTCCATTGTCTAGCAAGTTAATAGCGGAACCGCCGACACGAATAACGTCGAAGCATCGGTTGCATAAATTATTTCTTGCAAAGTACTTTGCTTGGAGAGATCTTGTCTTCGTGACACATGCGAGCTCAAAAACGGATTCTTATAAGAATGCTGATAAATTTTCCCGGATAAATAAAAGCAGAGAGAGAAGGGGGGGAATATTTTTATACTTTTTTGTCATTTCTAGTTATAATAGATTAAGCACTCTTTTAGTAATTCAAAATTGTTTCTTTAAAATTATTTATTCAATTATAATATTTTATAAATATTATAAATAAATAAAAAAAATAATTGTAAAAAATTTTCATTTAAAAATCAAACATTTTAATTAGCAGAAAACTAATTAGAAATAATTCAAAAGTCATTTACCACAGTTAATCGAAAAGTACAAGTTTCAATATTTCATTGAAGAGAGAGAGAGAGAGAGAGAGATCAGTTGCTCTGAAAATCTTTGAAGTGAAATCTAACTCTAAAGAGTAAAACCTCATTCTTAAAAATTGAGAAATGATCCACTCTTTTCGAACGTTGGCTCATTTGTCACTCTTTAGAATCAGATTCTATGCTTCAAAGATTTTAGAAAGTAAATAATGCAGTGATCATACAAAGAATATTATCTTCAAAATTATTTATTTCAGAAACATGACAAGACGAAAAAATAATTTACGTAAATATTTCCTTCGCGATATTTAAAGAAATTTTTAACAGAACTATAATTTGAGATTACACAATCTTTATAGATATGCAACCGCGAAAACATTTACTTACCTTAAACTCGCGACTTAATTTCCTTGCCTTTGGTTGAGGAAATGACGGTGCGCTATCCTTTGACATTCTGAATCTGATCTTTAAATGAAGAAGCTTCATCCTTTTCTCTCCGGAGATTGTTTCATCTTCGCCAATGTCTCATCTGTGAACATAAAATTCGAAATTCATATTAAGATAGTTAATGTATCTTCGTTACAAATTTTTTACTTTTCACTATGGAAAGCAAGACATTTCAAATTATACTTTTCCAATTTCTTTTCTTTAATTAGAAACAGCGTTTAGTTTTTCAACAATTAATCTTTAATCTTGAATTTTCTATTTAAAGTATAAAATACGAAATTAATAATGGATGTTTCAAGCCCGACAATTAAAGTTGACGACACAATCCTGGATTTTGAAGTTTGGACTGAAAGCTCTATATATCAACAAGCGATGGAAACAACTTTGTAACTGCTCGTCGGCTGTCCACAAGCTGTTTGCGAACTTTAGCACGAATAAATTGGGAATACAGGTCGCGACCAGTTTGCGCCTCACGTATTGTGCGCAAAGTGTTCACAAACTTCAGTTGTAGCCATATTTGGAAGACAGCATGATCAGGCAGTGGAGAACGTTCATATAAACTTGTTACCATGGCTTGCTACCTGGCGTATGAATTTATTCGCGAGACATACGAGCGCGCATGTCACATAATTAATAATTGGATGCTTTTATTCTATCTATGGTAACTCGAGTCGCAGATAAATTTAACGATCGTTTCACATAATGTGTGATATCGAAGCTACATTAAAATACTTTTTTAACTTGTAAATTTAGAATATAAAGATTTAATTCAAACTAGCACACAACAAAAAGTCAAACATGACAAGAATAGAGAGTAACAAAGTATTTAAAATACTTATTATATTTTGTGTAACTTATTATAATTTAATTTTATTGAATATATAACAAATATCACCAAATAGAAATTCACCACAGATTTAAGTTGTATATAAAAATACAGCGGCTCATTTCTCGTAATAAAGTAAATTCTAAACTTGACTATATCAGCGTACACTATATCAGTGGTGTTGTGAATTGTCCTTCCTACTGGCATTTTCGCGGCAACTTACAACGTCATGAACGTCGAGCGAGCTTTAATTACGACGATGGAATCCGAACGAAATACAGTCGCCGTTTGTGAGGTCGTAGCTTCTCGGAAATCGGCCACTATTTGCCGCCAAATTACTTTCGTACGTGATACCTGAATATACGCGATACCTACTGGTACTAACACACATATCCTACCGCACACCGACGCGATCTGGTAGTGTATGATGCAGAAATTGTACGACAAGCAGAGATGCCGTTCGGAGCGCAAAACACAAAGCTGCATCCGGCAATGGAAACTCGTCGAAGAATACTTCTCCGTCTTTTTACTGCAGTATTTATGATCGTACCAGAATACTGAAACGTCTGTAAAATGACTTCTTTTATTCGGAAGATAAATATTCTTCAGACTTAACGAAATTTTTCCAGAAAATAGAAATTTAAGCTTCGACATACATCGTTTCACTCGTATATTCCTCGAATACCTTACGATATTTCATCACAAAAGGCAAATGTGATACAAATGTGTTGCGTGCATTGTTTTAAAAACTAAACATGAATTGTGTCGACAAGAGAAAACAAAAAAGGATATTTTAGTCTCGCATTGCAAATGTTCTTTCATTAATGCTAATTTATTCAGAGTTGTACCTTTTAATGCAACCCTCTAATATCTCAAAAGGAATAAGTTTTTAATCAGATTATATTATAAAACTAAATGCCAGAAATCAATAAAGAGAAATATCACATATGGATAAAAAATTTGTGTTTATTACACCAAATCGAATTTAAATCTACCAAAATTATTTGAGTTTTAATGCTTTGAAAATTATAGATATAATGTTTTATTAAAAATGTAACATTTCAATGCAATAAAATAATATTGTATTAAGCAATTACATTATTTAAATCATCGATATGTTATTCATATATCAAAAGTTATTCATATACATGTATAAATTATTCGGTTCACATGTACAAATATTTTATAAATATATTATACATAGAAAAATATCTTAAAAATATATTCTACTGCTAAGAAAAGTATTTATTTACTGTTTTCTTTTAAGTAACAATTATCTTTAATAAAGAAAATATTTTCTTGATATAATAGTTTTAAAATATACTTATTACAAATTTCAGAAAAACTCATTATATATATATATTCAATTACTCATCACATTATCATGTACTTAAAACAAAAATTTATTTTCTTTGAAAGATTATAAAATTTTATCGAAGAAGTGACTTTTTATGCATAATAAAATTAAATTTGTTTTTTAATTTAATAATTTTAATCGAAGTATTAAATTTATTAAGATTCAGAATATATTTTAAATAAATCAAATTATCATAAACTCTCTTATGATAGATTTGCGGATGTGTGTGAACTTTAGAATTAAATACTTATAGAGACAAGTAATTAATATTTATATATTTTATTGTGTTAGAGTTTCACTAGTTATATCATATTATATTGCTTAGGAATAAGGCATAAGCTGTAGTAGTGAACTCTGCCTCAGAAATTCAATCTGTTCTCTCGCGTGCACAGTCACTTTACTCTCGCTGCGCGAGAACGATTGATTTTTGTTGCAACGAGCCTCCGAGTAATTACGTACCGTTGACGTTTAATGGGAGCGACATTATTGGATTCTCGTTACTACGACATTTATTTTCCGGCCACGTGTTATAACTGAGCCTGCAAAACGCCCTTTTTTTCATCCGGACTGTCGTTGAAACCCAATGCTGGGAAATGAATGCCTTTGTGCACGTGTAAATCGCGACACTTCAAACTTGTTTAGCCATTTGCGAGTCATGCAATTATTTCACTTTTTAAACAGAATTTGCAAGCGCGCAATTTTTGCACTTTAAAATCTTTACTTAGAATTAATAATAATCTTGAAGTACAAAATAACAAGGGAAATACGCATCAAGGTGTAGTAAAAAATAAAATAGGTGAAAAGATGCACTTCAACAGGTAAAGTAGCAACATAATGTCTTGTCTGTAACAATAATAAGAAGGCTTGAAGCTTAAGCCTATGTTACAATAAAAATAAAAATAATATAGCATATATATATATATATATAACATAACTGGATTTGCGAGAGTAAAAAATTAAAATTCTCGCAGAACCAGCAAGAAAGTGCGTAAATCGCGATTTTCCAATGTGAATGCCATAAATCGTCACCTGACAGCCTTGGATAATTAATTGACTTCCTCAGCGAACTTAATTGAACTAAACTTGACGTCCTTCGATTTAACCAATGTTCAACGAGATTTTTCCGCGTGATTCAATCCACTCGATACATCTGAGCATCCAAGAAGACGACGACCACGATATCGACGATATTCGTTCGATTTCTAGAGAGCAGGCTAGGTCGAGCAAAGGCCGCGCTCTTAATTTATGCGCAATCACTCGGCCGATCGATTTATTTGTTTTATAAGCCGCCTGTAATTGGCCACTGACAGCAGCTGTCCCGAGACCAGCTACAATATTCACGATACATTATTCATGCCGGGACGATTCCCCCTTGCGCGCACACAGCAATCCCCAAACTCGCCTAACTTGTGCTTGTCTGTCGTCTCGTCTCTGCGATTCACGTGATACGAAACAACCGCTCTCCGCTCACCTCCTCGTACGCACCTCGAATCAACTACCACCTCCTGCTCTCCCTTTCACACTGTTTTATCTTTTCGACACAAGTTCACCTTTGCAATATCAATTGGACTATTTTCCATGAGTTCGACAGTTGGCACATGGAGAAAAGTATTACTGGGAATTTCCCCGGTGACCGGATTTCCGAAGCTCGATCCGACGCACACATTCCCGCCTAATATTTTATTTTTCCTCTGAGGAAAAGGAAATATATGTAGCTTCGTCGCGTCGGTCTGACTACAAACACCTCTCCAAATTTTCAGATGTTTTGTAAATATTTTTCTGTTCAATTTACGTCAACTTTTGCGTCAAAATTTAAAAAAGCTAAAACTAAATCAAAATTTCTATACTCCTCTTTGTATAGTAACAAAAATTTATCAAATTATAAAAGACTGAAAATAACAAAAATTCTCAAGCTGATTTCTCCCAACAATCATCCTTCCTTCATTAAACATTTCGAAAGACCTTTCGTAAGCCGCATTTGGCAACTCAAATGCATCTCGGAGATTGGAATAAAAGATCGGGGTTATAAATCGGGGGCGAGATGTGTGACGGCAGACAAACGTCGGTTCCCGTGAAATTGATCGCTGTGGTGGACCTGATACACGGGCACAATATGTCGAGGGTAATAATCGTCCGGTCGTGACAATCGATGGCAGCTTCATCGGTAGCGAACGATGGATCTTCGCAATCGGATGGAGAAGAGAGGTAGAGGGGTCTTCGGAGGGCATTCGAAAGCTCGTTTACAACAGTCAATAACGACGAATAGCCAACGAATAGCCGTGAATCTACAAGTCTTTTGACGCCAGTATCAACAGCTTTGACACAAAATCAAAACTTCAACTATCATATAATACACACAAAAAAAAACGTCTTATAAGTTAACAAGATAAAGTGAGCAGAATCGATTTTAAATAACATATTTATTTGTTGCTCATTCATTGCTAACAATTTGCCAAAGAAAAAAATTTGTTGCTCTATTAGTTTTTTTTAAAAAGATGTTTCGCTAACTTATAAAACGTCACAAAAAATATACTTCACACAAGTAATAACTTATTTGCTTTAAATACTTCAAAAGTTTATGTAGTCGCATTCTATTATATAAACTCTCATCGCAAACACCAAATTTATTTAAAATACATTCTGAGTCCTAATAAATTTAATACTTTTCAATTATAAGAGATTATTAAATTAAAGTAAATTTAATATGTTTAATATACGTATATTCAGATGTATAAAATTGGCTTTTTCGATCAATTTTACAATATTCTTCAAAAACTCAATTCTTGTTTTGAGTACACAATTATAAATTTTTCTCGAGTTTTGCTAATATTTGTAAAGTATATTGATAATCAGATCAAATTGTTTTTAAATAATAGCCCTTATATCTCTTATTATAACA